GCTGATTCTCATGTCAGCGGAAGGCAGCAGAGACTGCCTCCAACTCCATTCTCAGACTAGACGTTGTGATATTATCTGCAAGGCTTTGCAGCACTAGGGCAACGTCCATTTACCTTTGTTATTAAACCCCATGCATTTTGTCTGCCCCTCAACACAGAGCCATCTTATAGATAATAAGCTATTTTAGTTTTCCTGATTTTATGTGTCTTTAAAATAAGACATTGTCTTGTAATTTTTCTTTACAATGAGATATTATCTTTACCATAAGCAGTTATTTGTCTTCACAATGAGAGATTATCAGTTTTTACAGGTGGACCTTGTTTGTCTTTACAGTTGGACATTGTTTGTCTTTACAATTAGGCGTTATTCGTCTTTACAGTTGGACATTGTCTTTATAGTTGAACATTGTCTTTACAGTTGGACATTGTCTTTATAGTTGAACATTGTCTTTACAGTTAGACATTTGTTTATCTTTACAATTGGACATTGTTTATCTTTACAGTTGGGCATTATTTGTCTTTACAGTTGAACATTGTCTTTACAGTTGGACATTGTCTTTATAGTTGGACATTGTCTTTACAGTTGGACATTGTCTTTATAGTTGGACATTGTCTTTACAGTTGGACATTGTTTATCTTTACAGTTGGACATTGTTTATCTTTACAGTTGGACATTGTTTATCTTTACAGTTGGACATTGTCTTTATAGTTGGACATTGTCTTTACAGCTGGACATTGTCTGTCTTGACAGCTGGACATTGTTTGTCTTTACAGTTGGACACTATGTGTCTTTACAATTGGACACTATGTGTCTTTACAATTGGACACTATTTGTCTTTACAATTAGACACTATTTGTCTTTACAGTTGGACATCATCAGTCTTCACAGTTCAACACAGTTTGTCTTTACAGCTAGACATTATTTATCTTTACAGATGGACATTATTTGTCTTTGCATTTGGACATTATATGTCTTTACAGTTGGACATTATTTGTCTTTACAGTTTGAAATTTTTTTACTTTTACAGTTGGAGATCATTTGTTTTTACAGTTCAACATTATTTGTCTTTTCAGTTGGACATTTTTTATCTTTACAATTAGACACTATTTTTTTTTTTTACAATATGCTTTCGTTTATTTTAATGGTTTGGCAGTCTCTGTCCTGTAACTTAATTCAAAATCAAACTCTATATCCAAGAAACCAAATACTTTGTGCCTTATGAATTATGAATTGTGTCTTTGCTTCTCAATCCCCATTCTCCACTGTCTGCATCTTTGATAGGTGCAAAGATTCATAGTAAGATGGTGTTCTCAAAATACTCAGACATCACTACATCTAATGTTAAATTTAAAACCTGGAGAAATATTAAAACAATCACTAATAAACTTCAAAAAAAAATTATTAACAGGTGATAATACATAGACATGACAACACTGTAATTCTTTATCAAGTAAACTGCTACAGAACAGTCTCTTAATTCTTTATCAGCTTAATTATCAGATTAGAATCTGTTAATTCCAAATGAGATAAATAGTAATATTTTAATTTTATATCAAGTAAATCACCACACAGATATCAGTTATATAAAAACCACGTAGCCATGCAATCTATTTTCTGTGTGTCTGTGTGTGTCTGTGTGTGTCTCTCTCTGTCTCTAAATAAATACATATTACATATACATAATTACATATATTTATGTACATATATGTGTGTGCCTTCTCCATGACTACCAGCAGCATGACGATGGAGGTGATTGCTGTGACACAAGCTTTCACTTGGCTAGAATCACATGACTATTCCTGCATGTGTGTGCTGAGTGATTCTTTGAGCATGATCCAGTGGGTTGAGGCAGGCTGTTAATGCAGACAATGGTTTGAGTCATTGTAAAACTCTCAAGTGTGTGCAGCTACCTTCATATTCGACCCAGGGCATGCAGGAGTTGTTAATGAAAGAGCTGATAGACTGACAGATGCTGCATTAATTGAAGATTGCCGGCCCATGGATTATGCAGATTATGTCTTTGCCCTTAGAGAGATAGGACGTTCTGAGGATTTTGGGAACAACATGTCCATGTCACTGCTAAGAATAAAAGAATTAGGAGTCAAGATCAGCACAGCCAAGCATGAGAAGCACATTGGACGCACACACGAAGTCTTGTTAACCAACATAGGACTGGTACTATTAACCGCACGACGCTGATAAATATGTTGAGAGGGGAATCTGAGTGCCTATGGATGTGTAGAGAGTGCTGTGAAGACAATCTGACTTATAACTCATAATGAATGTAGAAATAAATCACCACCTATTCATTATATATATCAAGTATATCACAATATTAATTCTGTATTATGTAAATCCCAACAAGTAAATCAAGTAAATAGGTACATACCAATCTTAAAACTCTTTATCAAGTAATAGCTGTATAGCAGTGTATTAATTGTATAGTAACTCAGAAAGTATGCAGAGGAAGGTCAGAAAAGGCATGCTTCTTGCAGAGTGGCATGCTTCTTGCAGAGTGGCATGCTTCTTGCAGAGTGGCATGCTTCTTGCAGAGTGGCATGCTTCTTGCAGAGTGGCATGCTTCTTGCAGAGTGGCATGCTTCTTGCAGAGTGGCATGCTTCTTGCAGAGTGGCATGCTTCTTGCAGAGTGGCATGCTTCTTGCAGAGTGGCATGCTTCTTGCAGAGTGGCATGCTTCTTGCAGAGTGGCATGCTTCTTGCAGAGTGGCATGCTTCTTGCAGAGTGGCGTGCTTCTTGCAGAGTGGCGTGCTTCTTGCAGAGCGGCGTGCTTCTTGCAGAGTGGCGTGCTTCTTGCAGAGTGGCATGCTTCTTGCAGAGTGGCATGCTTCTTGCAGAGTGGCATGCTTCTTGCAGAGTGGCATGCTTCTTGCAGAGTGGCATGCTTCACTGCGAATGACACCGGGGAAGAATATTGTCTGGATTTTGTCTCTGGGTTCGCCGGTATTTTGGGAAATTAACAAGTTGACCGACTGGCTGGCTCTGCACAACTTGGTGGAATACTGATGCATGATAAGGCAGACGTGGTTAGTGCCTTGTGGGAGAGCGTGTACAGTTTGGAGGAGCAGATGGATCACCCCAGTCTGATGAGATTGATACAGAAGGGAGTGATGAGGGGTTCTGGCAGATGCTCGAGGCTCAGAGGAAAGGCAAGACGGACATTTAATCAGAATGCTACCAGCACCATTAGTATCGGAACTCTACACTGGATGCTGAAGATGGGGACGGAGTGCTTATAGCCAGTTGGCACTCTGTGGGTGATGTGGTTAACCATTCATTCATCTGGCTTTAAATCCCAGGACATTTACCTGTTACCCATTTGAGCTGGGTTATCTGGGAGCCGAGATCATTTTTGAAAAATATCTAACTTGATGAGGATTGTTCTTGGCGTTCGCCAGCAGCAAGTTTTGGTTGTTCATCCTCTTCTGGATCTTAGTCTTGCTCCAGATCTTTAGTGTCGCACGCACGTCCTTTCTACAGATCTGCCTTATTTGTATGCAGACGGTTGGTTTCTTGCCTCTCAGGCAGATATACTTCAAAGGAAACTCTTGCAACATTAGTCTGTTCTGGTTTCTTTGTTTTTTTTCACAAAGGGTCTCAGGAACCCACTCAGGAATGATTTCATTCAAACCTAAGACCTGTTCTGCCCCTGCTTTTTCTTGAGGGCTGACCAGCATTGCATGGTTGCTCTGGACTGGTTGGGGGGGGGGGGAGGGGGGAGGGGCTGGCTGTGAACTAGGGAACAAAGATGACCACACAATAATGAGACTGCAATGCCCCATGAAACCAACCGGGAAGGCTAACACAGTCAACAAATTCCTGCAGAAGTCAGATGTGTTGACTGAAAGATATAAATCTTGCAGCCATTCTCCTGTAAATGGGCACAATGCAGTTACACCTTCACATTAAAGCAGAAGAGCCTAAGAGCTTGAGGTTGACAGCGGGATGTCTAGCTACTACGCTGCTGTGCCTTCTGTGCTCTGTGCACACCATGTAATTGTTGTTATCTTCATATCAGCATTTGGAACCTAACCTCCCACAGGTGAATGCAAGGCTAAAGGTGATGTTGTCTTTGTGCTGGACAGCTCTGGCAGTGTTGGGGAGGATAACTTTGCTCTTGTGAAAAACTTTCACAGTTGCTGCTGTGAGGGAATTAGAAATTGACAATGGCTTCTTCAGGATTGGTGTCATTACATTCAGGTATGTATAACAGTTGTTGTCACTGCACTCACTCAGATTCCCATGCATACTCAGTCCTCTGATACAGCAGCCAACCCCAGCTACCTAATATGTCTCCATGAAAAGTTGGTTATACTGTCTGCTTATCTGATCTCAAGTGCAGCATGGATGTACTATGTCCCCAGGCTTAAACCTCCAGCTCAAATAGTCTGCATAACTTGTCACTATCCACTTGCTTCGTTATTACAGTGTGGATATTGTCAGTCCTGCCCCTTTCTGTTCCTGTATGTATTCTTTCTTGGTTCTTTTCCACATTTTCACACCAACTCAGGGGCTCCAAGGTTTCATAGGTAATTCCTAGGGAGTTCCCTGGAACATCCTATATTATAGGGTGGGGTGGAGGGGAATCTGTTAGTCTGTGTTCATTTACTACAAGCACTATAACTCCTACAGTCAAGAGGTGTCATTTGTTGCTTGTTTGCAGTGTTTTCATTTTGCATTGCATCATCATTTCCAGTGTGTGTAACTTTTGTTTGTTCCAGCGCCATCAGTGTGCCCTGTTTGGAAGCGATGTTCTTACATTCAGCCTTCTCATTTGAAATCCACTTGCAGAGAATGAAAAAAGTAATAAAAAATCAAATGTTTAGAAACAAACATGTATATTTTCAGTGATTCTTCAAGAGTTGAGTTTCAGCTGAATACATATACCACAAAGGAAGAAATCTATAATGCCATTCAGAGAATATCATATGTATACGGAGGTACCCATACAGCCGATGCTTTAAGAAGGGTTCGTACAGAAATGTTCACACCAAGAAATGGAGATCGCATTGGTGAGTGCACATTGTTCTTTGTTGATTCTTATGCATAACTGTATGAGTGTGAGAAAGAGGGGAAAAGCATACACTTTTATGTATCCAAACTGATGAAACTTTTCCTTAGGTGGTTCTGTCCTCAACAGCCACAGAAAGCAATGCTGAAGATGTACAATGAGAAGGAAAAGACTACACAAAATATGGAACGACAGCACCAGAACAACCTTAAAGACCACCTGATGGTCTGACCTGAGCATATCAAACTAAATGCCAAGAAGAAGATTAGAAAGGGCACAGAAATGATTCCTACACCCCCTCTCCCCTCAGACATCCCCAGTACCCAATCCCACACACTTCAATAAGAAAACTGGAGGAAGAGATAAATGTTAATATTATTGGTTCCAAAATGTGTCAGAAATGTGTTGATTTGAAGTGTCATAAAGTATGTAGATTACATTTCTCTATGATTTAAAAGTGGCATTAGAAGGGAAGCTTCACACGCACACATGCACACATGCATGCATGCACACACACATACATACATACATATATATATATATATATATATATATATATATGTGTGTATGTATATAAAATCACTACGTATGCAGGCAAGTTAAGTCACAGATTGATAAAGTTGAAAAAGTAGTAGGTAGTTTCTAAAGGTAACATTTGTGGTGGCAGTATCCATATTTTGGATTAATTAAGGTTCTTTAAGAATAGATGAGAAGAAGGAGTGTCTGGCCAAGTGGTTGAACCCCTGGACTGTTATGCAGAAGACCTGGGTTTGAATCTGGGTAAGGTGACAAAGATTTTGTCTAGGGCAAAAATACAAATCCTAACCTTCACTGTTCTTGGTGATCACACTTGGCGATGTCTCAGGGCATGCAGGTGTGAAAGGCAATGAGAGAGCAGACACCCTGGCTGGCAGTATGTCTATCAGGATTGGGCCCTCTATGGACAGGAGAGACATCATCAATGCCATACAAGAGACTAAACGATGTGTGGATTTCAGTTTTGTGGAAAATCATTTTTCACTGAATAGACTGCATACCATGGGTGTACCTACTGGAGTAGCGAGACAGGAAAAACCATGCGGGAGCCAACCGTTGTTACATTAACGAGAAGAGAATGGGATATATTAGCGTAAATACGCGTGGAGACACAACTCAGGAGGAGATTGGAGCATTTATGGTCATGTCCGATGTGTGATGAACAAGGAACAATAGTGATCACACTAATCAGGCAGCTCCAAATAATCGAGCTCATGATCAGTCTGTCCTGGTGTCATGAATCACAAGCACAGGCAAACCCAGGATATGGCTCTTTAACATGGTTCTGCTTGAATACTCACATTGTCAGCACATCTAGGCCAGGTGTGAGCATGTATGGTATAGACATCAAGAGAATGAACATGATAAAATATCTTGGCATCATCTTTGACACTGTCATATTTAGAGCAAGGAAATATCAAGCAGATCTAAAAGTGTTGGCAGAAAATGATACTAAACAGTGCATACTGTCCCTTCTCTAAGGGACTGTGTTATCATAGACTATTATCTGGGGTTCCTCAGTCTCTTTGTCTTCCCTATTGCTGTTTTTCCATCAATCTTGCCAGTCATTAATAAATTCCTGAATCTATTCTTTCTCATAACATGTTCAAAACAAGAACAAACAAACAAAAACAGACGACTGCGCTTAATATCTGAATCAGTGTACAACTTTAATCTATTTTGAGGACCGCCTAATTTGTATTTTATTTTATCAAAAAAAAATATTATATAATATTATGTGCATGTTTCTCAGAAACAGAATTTCACCTGTGAGTAAAATGTATTTCAGCTTGCCTGCTCATTGTCCATGCCTCACACATTAACAACACAGGTTCAGAAAATATAGCCTTATTCTTATCACAGATGTTCCAAATCTTCTTGTGGTTGTCACGGACGGCCAATCAAACATCAACAACCATGAAACTATCCCTGAGGCAAGACTAGTCAAGTCCACTGGAGCCACAATTGTGACTGTGGCCATAGGTATTCAGGACAACAGTGAGCTGCAAGGTCTGACATCCCCTCCTGTGCAAGACAATATCATTGAGGTGACTGATTTTGATGACCTGCATACATTGTCACATTTCATTGTGGCACCTCTTTGTACAGGTCAGTTGAATCTTTAACTTTTAATTCTTAGTTTGTTTGAGCAATTGAAAATTAATTGGAGATTAACTCTAAGACCTAAATAGCTTTAAATTATTTGCAGATTGACTCTTATATTCAAGCAGCCTTGGGCAATGATTAGACTTTGAACAAAGAAGGTGCAAACAATAGATTGCATGATGTATTGCCAGACATATCTCACTGTATCTTGTTACATTCATCATCCAAGTGTCACCCCAACAGTATCCTGACTGGAGATTAAGGCTTGTGTATAAGTTATTTGTGCATTCTAGTTTAGATCTATAAATAGTAAAGTATTTATTGTAAATAGTAAAATGCTTTTGTTGTAATAAAAATCTATATCAGTGTGTCTTATGAAGTTTACCATTTTCAACCAATTAACATGACACTTTTTTAACAAAATGATAAATTACAGTATCAGTCAAGAAAGATAACCTAAATTGAGTGTTTATTATTTGCAGACGCCAACCTGTGTGACCGGAACCCATGCCAGAATAGTGGTCTCTGTGTTGACAGCCTTCGATCATACATGTGCATTTGTTTGAGTGGGTTCTATGGAGAAAACTGTGAAAAGTGTAAGTTGCCTATATAATTAAGAAAGGGCAGTGGGTTCTGGGTCTACTACTAGATACTGGCTTCATACTAAATTAATCAACCAGTGAGGTGCCATCTCCAAAGCGAAGGTGGCTGCATTGGATCCTAAACAAACTCTATCTCTTGTCTTGGTTGTACACTCTCGCATATTTATGGTTGTCCACCTCTTAATGTTGCCTTCCCACTTGTATTGTTGTCTGTGTCTTCCTCTCCTGCCTTAGACATTTCCCTCCAGTATGGTTTTGAAAAGAATGTTGTGTCTTTGTGATCCAGACAAGACTTAATATGTCAACAGCCACGATGTCGAAGCTGAATACGATGTGGAAGAGCAAAATCAGCACCCGAGGATTCAGACTTTCAAATGTAAATGCTACATATCATCATCATCATCAGGTGCCTTGCCGAGTGGCGTGGGCGATCATGCCCCTCCATAATCCGCGATCTCCTGCAGCATGTATCAGTTCGTGTGCCGACACACCTCCATGCCATGCAACAAGACTGTCAAGCATCTTCTCTCGTTGTCTTCCTCTATCCCTCCTTCCACAGATCTTTCCAGTGGTCACAACATGTTCTATTTTCCCTCTTCTCATAACATGGCCGAAAAATGATGACTGTCTCCTTCTGATGTCAGTGATAAGTTGTCTTCGGTCTCCCGCCTCTTTTAAAACCTCTTGGTTGCTCTTTTTGGCTGTCCAAGGTATTCTAAGCATTCTTCTGTAAAACCACTTCTCTGAGGCCTCCAAAAATTGTTTGGCCTGCCTACCGATTGTCCAGGATTCACATCCATATGTTAAAACTGGATGTATGTAGCAAGCAAGAATTCTTTTTCTAACTCTCAATGACAAGGATATATTGCACAAGATGTTTTTCATTTTATAAAATGCAGTTTTTGCCTGTCCAATTCTGTTTCTTATTTCAGTTATGCATCTTCCATCTGATGTTATCCATGTGCCCAGATACTTAAATTTCTGTACTTGTCTTAAAATAACACCATTGACTTTTATTACACATTTAGGAATAATTTGTTTCTTTGATACCACCATTACATATGCATTTTACAAATTAGTTATTTAGAACATAAAACTAATAAATATGTCATAGACAAAATATACAAATTTGTGGAACATCAGGAGCCTCTCTTGGTAGTGGTGAAACATCGCAAGCTAGCTTGGTTTCTGCCCGTGGTGAGACATGATTCAGCTGCAAACACTGTACTTCAAGGAACACTGGGAGGTGGTCGAAGAAGAGGAGGGCAAAGAAGAACCTGGAATGATAGCATCAAGAAATGGACAGGACTAAGTTATCATACACTTATTCACCAAGCGAAAGACAAAGATGGCGGGTTTTATGTGCTAGTACTTCCATCAATACACCTTCACAACCCTAATGGGTCAAGGGCTGTGTTATGTTATGTTATGTCTTTTAAATATATATATTTCAGTTGTCTCTATTTTACTTTTTTATTTCAGTAAATCTCTTTATTCACAATATCTCTAGAACCTTTGTATTTGAATGTTTTTGTTTCCATGAAATAACACATTTCCAGAGACTCAGTTTAATTTTCTAGTTGCCTGTTAATTGTCCAAGTTTTTGTACCATACAGCAGGACTAAGAAAACATAACATGTGATGATTCTAATTTTTAGTGTGCTGTTTGTCTCTCTCAATTAATCAGGTGCCGTCTCAACAATGAAGGCTGCAATGGATCTCCAACAAGCCCTGTCTCTTGCCCTTGATGTACACTCACTATACTGCTGTTCGTCCATCTCTTGATGTTATCCTCCCACTTGTAACACTGTCTGCCTCTTGCTCACCTACCTTGAACCTTTCCCTCTAGGATGATCTTTACAATACTGTTATGTCTTTTAATGTGACTAAAATATTTCACTTGTCTCTTCTTTATTTCACCTAGCAACTCACATTTCATTCCCAATTTCCTCAGTACTTCTGTCTTTGATAGCTTTTGTTTCCATGAAATACGACCTAATCTTCTGTATATCCACATCTCCAAAAAATTGATACGATTTTCCAGTTGTTGGTTCATTGTCCATGTCTCTGTGCCATACAGTAAGATTGAGAATACATAACATTTGACAATTCTCATTTTTAATGTATTGCTTATTTCTCTTGATGTCAGTAACTTCTGCATGTTGTTGAAAATGTTTTTGGCCGTACTTATTCTTTTCTTGACTTCTGTTTCACTTCTGCCGTCACATGTTATTACTTTTCAATTTTACAACTTACTGAATCTCGTTTTAGCCATCCCTATGCTTCCTTTGATTTGTTTCACTGCTGCCATCTTCTGTTTTTACATTTCCAAGACAGAAAACTACAGCTTGAGACTTCAGTGAACCAATCACTGATGTTCTGGATGTCAAAGCAAAATAAATAGATCTTGAATTCCTTGCTCAACCAAAGAATATAAAAAACAAAGCTTTTCACCATAAGGATGTTGTGTTGACAAAATCTTTGAGAGAAACCCACACATAGTTTACAGAGCTTGTTACATGACAGTGTGTATGGGTGTATATGAGAGTGCATGTGTGTGAGAATATGTATGTGTGTGTGTGTGTTAATGTAGGCTTTTTTGAGTGCATACTATGTGCATTTATGTGTGTGTGTGTTTTTGTGTGGAAATGCATGCAATTTTGTGTACATATGAGTGTATATATGTGTATATATGAGTCTATGTATTGAACTTATGAATGTGCAAGTTTTTGTATATGTATGTCTATTTTTTAATTTGTGAGTGTTTTGTATGTATAAGTAAGTATGTATATATGTAATTTCACTACATGTCATTGGGCCAAAGGATGAAAGCTCATGTGCCCCTGGATCGATTACAACAAAAGCAACAATATAAACATAAGATGCTTTAAAGATAAAATCCAACAGCAGATAAGAAGAATGTTTGAAAAGGCCAAGCGTAAGATGGGCCTGTGTCCCAATTGGTGAACCCTTAAAACTCAAGGTTGTTTGTTAGTTAATTCATTTGTTTTAGAAATGAACCTAATGAAATGGCATGCTCAAGTACGCTACACTGACATTTAGGCTGGAGAGATGCATGAGTATGTGTCTGAAATATGAAGCAAGAATGTACCCTGTTCTTTGTTATTTTAAGTCAGACTGTGTCATTTAGTCTACATCACTTCATCCTATTTTTCTGTGTGCATAACTATTATATGCTTCCTCACATGATCACCACTCTCTTAGAAGAATTATGTGCTCTTAACTCATCAGCTGCTCGGCTCTCTAGCGTAGTTGGCTAAACCGGATTGCTCGGAGACCGGGTGACGAACTCCTTGTGGTCCGGGTTTAATCCCGGGGGTAAGCAGGAAAGCCACATTTTCTCCCAGATTTACGGTGTTTACAATGAAATCAAGGCCGAAAGGTTGTGATATCCATAATACCGAGCCTAAGGGTTAACAACTCATGGCTTCTGGATACTAAAACAAACAAACAAACAAACTTATCAGCTCTGCAATTTGAAAAGTCCAGCCAGGTATTTGTGTTTATCTCTCCCTTGTGGGTTCGGGTGTCACCTGTGGGGGTATGAGGGGGGTGGGGGGGGGGGGGGGCTTAAAAGGCGACTAATCAAGGTTTTGTGGAAATCACATGTGTTGACCCAAAGGTGCAGATACTGTAGCCTAGCTGTAAACAAACAACACAACATGCCTACCGCCATTCTAAGTGTGAATACAGAACTAGAAGAAGATACCATTATCTTTTCTCTGCTTTTGCTTATCTGATTTGCCAGATTGCGTTCAGTTATCAAGTTTACTTCTCTTCAAAATCTGTTTGCATGCTTGTTCAGCTAATCATGTTACCTCATTATAGTGTGTGTTTGTGTGTTTTTGTGTGTGTTTGTGTGTGCGTGTGTGTGCATGCACTCGGGCGCAGGCAGGCGGGTGTGAGTTGGTGAGTGCATGTGTGTGTGTGTGTTGGGGGGGGATGTAAAGTGCATTGTATAAATTGACCTTAATTTCTTTAAAGATGTTACTGATGCCGTCATTCCATGTTTTGCATGGTTTCCCTCTACTTCTCTAATCATGGACACTTAAGGGACACCTGGTAGCTGTTTTTCTTCTTCACTTTGCAGTATGCGGTCCACCAGCTGATGTTGTGCTGATACTTGACTCATCGTCTTCTGTTGGTGCCTCCAACTTTGATGCTATCAAATCCTACGCCCAAATGTTGGTCAGAGAGATGAACATCCAGTCCTGCAGCATCAACATAGGCATCATCAAGTACAGCTCTGCAGCAATGGTCCAGCTGAATCTCGGCACCCAGACCTCAGAAGCGGCTGTCTTGAGAGTTATCCAGGATATCAGCTACACCCCAGGGAGATCAAACATGGCTGAAGCTCTGAGAGTAGTCCGTACACAGATGTTCAGTCGTAGAAACGGAGACAGGTAAAAATACTTTCATATTTAACTCATTCTAAATAAACACACTCACACACATACAATTAAAAAAAAATTTAAAACTACTACTTTTGTGGAAGGTGGGATGTAGTAGGGCAGGGAGATTCTTGATCCTGCCGATTTAGGGCAGCGGAGCTAGTATTATTGCCAAAGACTGCTGGTTAGGATTTTATTCTCCCCTCACACCCCCCCCCCCCCCCCCCATCCCCCAGCAGAATAGAAATCCATTTTTCTACATAGGATTTAAACCTAGGTCTATAGCATAAGAGCTCACTATTCTTAAAGGCTTGGCAAGCAATAATGCTAACAGTACCAGCTACAACCTGATGAAAATATGTCTGTTTCCTCCTTAGTTTTGAACATCTTCCAGAACTTCTGAGCAATGCCCTTTTTTCCCTCAGTCCTTTGGGGGGGGGGGGGGGGGGGAGGAGGGAATTAGTCTTTCAGGGTATGGGTACACTTTCTGTTTTGTTGCACTGTCCACTTTATCCCAAAAAAGCTTCACACGTTTGCCTTAGCAAATAGTAGCTCACCACCAAAAGGAGTAGCAGCAGCCAGTCTATCAGCATGCAGGTGATGGCCAGGATTCATAAAAACAGCAGGCTTTGTTTAGGGCTGAAAGCATTAAAATGGCTTGTACCCTTAGTTCATGCTTTGATTTCTTCTATATTTGCAGAGTAAATGCTCATAATATTGCATTCCTGCTGACTGATGGATCAGTGGAAATCAATCGAGATATCACAGCTTCTGAAGTGTTGCTGACAATTGATGCTGGTGTACATGTAGTGCCACTGGCTGTTGCTGTCCGGGACCGGTCTGAGATAGAATACATAGCAGAGACTCAAGGCATTCCTCTGATTGAGATTGAGAATGAAGAAACCTTCATTGCCATGAGTGACCAGGTTCTGGAGTCGGTACATGACTGTGAGTGTGGACTATTGATTGTTGTGATAATAGAAAAGATGGCTCTATGGCAAGGGGTATTGATAGCATCTGTAAGGATAGGTGTTCTTCTTTTGTCCTGCTGCTTATACTGTAAAGTATCACAGAGAGTTTTTAGATAGTTGTGTAGCTTGTGTTAATTTTATATTTCATTTATGTAGTTTTTTTTTTTACTACCTCCTTCCATTCTTTTGTGGTTGGCCTCTTGATTGTAGCCTGCTTTTCTCATGCATTATGCTTTAACAGCTAAGTTTGTTCCATTCTGAACAGATGACGAAACCATTTGATTCATTGCTACTTTCTGAAATAATTTACCAGTAAATGTATACTAGATCATGATATTAGTTGGTGAGGTGATTGCTTCCTTTCTTCTCTAGCTTTATTCTTAAAGAATATATGATTGTCTAATTATGTCTGTTTATTTGTGTTGCTGACTGTCTAGATGTCTTTTATATATCCATTAATTTACCTATCATCTATACACACATCACACAAAGCTCACACACATGCACACACATCGATCTCACTATCTCTCTCTCTCTCTCTCTCTCTCTCTCTCTCTCTCTCTCTCTCTCTCTCTCTCTCTCTCTCTCTCTCTCTCTCTCTCTCTCTCTCTCTCTCCCTCTCTCTCTGTCCACATACCCACTGTCAAATTCTCTTTGTAGGTTGATTTCCTTTTAGCACATCTTCATTACATTCAGAAACCTGCCTATGGTGCTCTTATCATTCATCTCTAAACTCTTTCAATACCAGAGGACAGTAACAATAATTATACTTTTAAATCAGCTCATGGTTAGTGTCTTGGTACCCAAAGAGTTGAACAAAAAAACCATATTTGTAGCATCTGCATTATTGCTTCTAACCTGCTAAATGCCCATTATTAAATTATTTACATCTGCATTTACTCAGTATAATTGTTTATGTTTGGTATACTTTACAATGGAGGTGATAATCTGTAACAAAAACTAATGATGTGGCTCAAGACACAATTTGTGACATGTGTGCCTTCTGAGTGATTCCATGAGCATCTTTAATAAGATCAGGAAGGATGGACTGAAGAAAATGGTTAAGAGTCGCTGAGGAAATCACGTCTGATGGTAACAGTTAAATCATTGTGCCAAGGCACTCTGGGGTAAGAAAAAATAAACAATTGGCTTGCTGGCAGGGTCACGTAGGTACAGGAAAAGCATTGGACCAGGATAAAATTCTTATTACTCTCAATGAGGCTGGATGAGAAGACGGTTCAGGAGATGATAGTTGAGTTGGAAACATTTTAATGACTTCAAGAACTTCAAGCCAAAAGTGTCACCAGACATGAACATTATACAGGTAGCCAAGGAAGAATAATAAACCAAAACACAACTGGTGTTATCAGTTGAGGCATGGTGGGCCCGATATAAGAGACTCCTTGAATATGAAATTACTCGAGGCAGGAGAGCTGGCGAGAGATGAAGTTTCTTTCATACTATAATGAGAGCGACAGTCTGCAAAAGACCTTCTACATGATAGATGTCTCATAGTGTCTGTGCTGAAGTAGGGTCAAATTAGTTATTGTTTTTAAGCTAAACAATTTTGGGAAGTATGAGTTAGAGTAATGACTGCTTGGGAATAAAAGAGTTAATTACCATTTTATGTACTTTATAATTGAATTATTTACTGTGAATACCAGTTTGCATATTTTATATTTTAATTGTAAACTATGAGTATTAATTTCTGTACTTTGCATTTTTCAGCAAGCAACCACTGTACAGTAAACCCGTGTCAGAATGGTGGACAGTGTGTCAATGTGCAACGTGGGTTTGCATGTGTGTGTGCTGAAGGTTACAGTGGTGACACATGCGAGCGAGGTCAGTTACTAGCCAACATATTCTCTGGGTTTTCTTTATTGCCTTCATCTGATTAACTCATCTTTTAACATGAAGAGTTAAAGAGGAATCAGGTTATGAGATTAATATGGAAAAACTCCCCAGAAAAAAAACACAAAAAGTAAGTGAAGATATAAGGCATATAAAAACATAACCGCAAATTATTTTTATTCATCCACTTTCAGATCAGTCTTGTTGCAGAACTTGAGTTTCGCATGCACATCCATTGTACAGATCTAGGTCATCTGTAGACTGTTGGTTTTTTGCTTCTAAGGCCAATGCAGTGTCATCAAAGAAACAACTTAATTTCTTTGAATTGACCACACGCTTGTTGGGAAGAGAGGGGAGGAGGCAGTGGGACTGCCACCCCACCTTTCTCCACACAATAAGGGCCCTGGAGCACACACAGGAATGCCACTTAACGAACACACATTACTGTTACATTTATTATCAATCTTCAATGAAATCCAATGTAGTGTAGTGGCACAAAGATTGTGGGTTCAAATCCACATTGTGGCAGATTTTAAAACAAAACAAAACAGATTAACTTTGGCTTCAGTTGTTGGCCCAGTCTAAAACAGGTACAAAGGAATGTCCCTGGCAGTAAAGACGGATGGCATGCTATTGGCTATATCACCCACCTGATGCTGATTGATCTACCAAATGTAAGTCTAGCACCATATACCGCTGATGAGCTTCACACAAAAACACAATTACAGCCTGTGTTTACCACTATTGTCCCATCTCCCCATCTTCTGGTGGTGTGGGGGTTTGACCTTTGATATTAAGAATTTAGGGCCTTATCGTTAGTGCTGGAGCTCAACCTGAGCAGGTTATGATTTTATTTTTACCAGCAACATAAAAAAAATCCATATCCTTACTGAGGATTCAAATCTGGGTCTCCCACATGAGAGCCCAGTATTTGTAACCATTTGGCCAGACACTGCTGCAATAATGTGCCATTGATGTAAAAAGATCATTTACTTAACGTATATTTTGTGGTATCCAAGAACATGTGCATTGATGTGAAATTGAAGATCAGGAAAATATTTAATCTATGCATTTTCAATGTGGCTGTGGCACCCTTTCATATTTGCTGCAAAATTGTGTGGAATTCATGCAGTTATATTTGCATCATCCATAATAAACAATAGATGGGGCCTCCATGGTGAAGTTTAGATAAGGACAAGAGACAGGAGAAGTGTGGGGACAAATATTAATATGCAGAAGATAAAACATGCACACACACAAAAAATCATAGAAAAAAGTAAACAAATATAGTGAAATTAAATCAAAGGGAATTGGGAGAAGAGAAAGACTGCATAGATAAATGTATTGTACTTTTCAAATTATGATTTTATATTCTTCTTCTTTTTCTTTGTTCACCGGCTGTAAGCTTCAGTGAAAAGTCTGGGTTGTCATCCACTTGGACTTTGTGCCGAGGCTTCAGTTTATGCATCTACATCCACTTTACGGTCTTTTTTGTGTGCATTTGCTTATTCCATGCCGCTCAGGCAGATGTACTCCCACATCGAGAAAAGCTATAAATTAATTGACTCTTAAAAACATGCTTTGGAGGGGAGGGGGGCAGACGATAGGTCTATTCTTTTTTTTCCCCATCGTGGGGCCCCGGAACCTACACGTTGAGATTATATTTATAATAATAATTTAAAAAGTATATGCTGTTGTGTTTGATGAAATTTGGTAACTAACAGTAACAATTAATTTTGACAGCATGCCACAGTAATGCTGATGTGGTGTTTGTGGTGGATGCCTCACGCTACAACAGTGGCCCAGAATTCAGAGCCATCAAAAGATTTCTTCGAGATGTGATTAGAAGAATGTCAGTCAGAGCTGGTAATCTGAGAATTGGAGTAGTAGAGTATGGTGCTTCTCCACGAGTGAAACTGTCGTTGATTGATGGTGAGAGCAAAGAGAATGTCCGGGCAGCTGTTGGAGCTCTTAGGTAAGATACAAACTGGCATGTTAGACAGTAGGATAGGTAATCTTGGTTTGGTCTTCTTTGATAATGAGGAGCCTCCTGATGTGAATTATCTGGCACCATCTGGGGTGGGGTGGGAAAGGAATTAGACTCACTGCACCCCCCACCCACCCCCCTCCTTCCCCGCGGGATTGTTTTACCACCCATGTTTTTTTCTTGGTATTCATAATATGCATATTTATTAAATGAGTATAATAGGCTTTACTGATTAAATACAACTACTGTGTGAAAGATGGGTTTGGGAGGGCCGATTGTAAGCCATGCCTGTGTGCCCAATTTGTGACTATTTGAAAATAAAGTTTGTTTATTCATTTGTTCATTCATTTCCAAAGCATGTAATAAACTTCAACTAATTAGTGGTGTTGAATTCAGAGTCTGGGTGCATTTGTCTGAGAAGCCAGGAACCTACGGCCAGCATTCAAATAAGCCAGATCTGTAAAATGAATGTGCATGCAAAATGCAAGTTCTGGAAATAAAAGTCAGTTTTTCACACCAGTTGTGTATTGGGCATATAATGCTAGACTTTTACTTTGGCACTCATTCTAGGCTGTGTTGACCACAGAGCCAAATTCATGTCTTGAAAAAAACATCTGCCACAATTCAGTTTAAAACCTAAGACCTTTGGGTCAGCAAGTGAACGTCTAGCCACTATGCCATCATTGTTCCTGTTGTTTTATATCTGTGTCATCATCATCATCAATCAGAGAGACCTTTAGGTCAGCAGGTGAATGTCTCCGCCATCATGGTTCCTTTTTTTCTAATATCTTTGTCATCATCATCATCAATCAGAGAGACCTTTAGGCCAGCAGGTGAACGTCTCCGCCATCATGGCTCCTGTTGTTTTATATCTTTGTCATCATCTTCATCACTCAGCAGATTCTTTACGGCATCTCACTCTCGTCACGGCACACCTCTAAGTCGCTAACTCTAGCCAGTTCTCCAGCCCTGTGTGCTTTCAGAGCCAGTGCATCTTCAGAGATTTGTATCCACCTTCAGAGAGGTCTGACTGTGCCTAGTTTTCTGGAAACCATCCTCCATCACCGTTCTCTCCAGGCTGCCATGTCATTTAACATGGCTAAAATACTTCAGCTCTCGAAACAGGCATCTGTTTATGAGCCAGTTTTCCTCGATACTTACATCATGTAGGATGTCAGTATTTTTAATCTTCTTTTTAGTCCATGGTATTCTATAGTTTTTCTGTAGTATGTTTGTTTTATACTGAGATCTTAATTTAAAAAAAAAAACTGCCAGGATGAGTAGAGATTATTTGTGACGTCTACAGGCGACTCAGCAGTGATCCCAACTTGGAAGGTGCCATCCGGTTTGTGGACAACAATGTTTTTACTGGATATGGAGACAGAAGTGAGGTGCCCAACTATCTTGTGGTTGTCACAAGGAGTATTGGAAGTCTGGAGACGGTACATGCCATTAATGATCTCAAATCGAAGGGAACCAGAGTCATTGGTGTCGGTGAGTACTCATTTCAAATGCAAGTATATTTTTTGATGTTTATCATCTTCATGTGACAGACCCTTTGCAGAACATTGCTGTTATCACAGCCTGCCTGGAAGGAACCTGGTCTCTCTTCAAATCTCCCTCATGTACCTGGCCCTCTTTCCTGGCACCATGTTTTCTGCCACTATTCTGTTCAATCCGACATGGCACATGATATAGCTTTCAGTTTCAAGGACAAGATGCTTTTTATCATCCAGTCTTCTTCTTTATTCAAATGTTCAGATCTTTTAGGATTTAGTTTTTCTTTTCTTCATGGTCTATGGTCTGATAATCTTTCTACAGATCTTCAGTTAAAAAGCCCATATTTTTTCCCTAATGAATGTTTTATTTTCGAGGATAAGAGTCCTCATTATTATCTAGATGGATTTCTCATCGTTTGCTTAATATCTACTTTACTCAGGCATGGACTATCAGCTCTTTTGTGTAAGGAGTGACATGATCTTTATTAATTACTTACTATCTACCTTAGTAGGCATTTATTATCAGATTTTGTGTGTGTATATTGAGTGACATGATCTTCATTAATTACTTAATATCTACCTTACTGAGACATTGACTATCAGCTGTTTTGTGTACGGAGTGACATGATCTTCAAAAATTTACTTAGGGTTATTTAATGAGTACACCATATTTTTTTTATAGCAGGTATGTGCCTTGGTTTGGGTGCATCACAGTGAAATACAAGGTATCTCTGATAGATCAGCATATAGTACAGGTCAGGTTTTAGTCAGATGTGACTGAGCTACTGTTGAACGGTCCTGCCTGCTCACAGTTAACATTGAATGTTGGTCAGCATTCATGAAACCAGACATTCCACATTGTGCCAATGATTTTGTGAGGAGAAGCACATTTGGGAGGATGCTAACTTTATTCTAGGAAGAGTAAATGTGGCCTAAAAACCTAATGGCAGACCAGACCGTTAGCTTTGGTTGGCACCTTATCTAGCAGGAAGCTATATCAGGCAGGAAGCTATATCTAGCAGGAAGCTATATCAGGCAGGAAGCTATATCTAGCAGGAAGCTATATCTAGCAGGAAGCTATATCTAGCAGGAAGCTATATCTAGCAGGAAGCTATATCTAGCAGGAAGCTATATCAGGCAGGAAGCTATATCTAGCAGAAAGCTATATCAGGCAGGAAGCTATATCAGGCAGGAAGCTATATCTAGCAGGAATCTATATCAGGCAGGAAGCTATATCAGGCAGGAAGCTATATCTAGCAGGAAGCTATATCAGGCAGGAAGCTATATCAGGCAGGAAGCTATATCTAGCAGGAAGCTATATCTAGCAGGAAGCTATATCTAGCAGGAAGCTATATCAGGCAGGAAGCTATATCTAGCAGGAATCTATATCAGTCAGGAAGCTATATCTAGCAGGAAGCTAAATCTAGCAGGTAGCTATATCTAGCAGGAAGCTATATCTAGCAGGAAGCTATATCTAGCAGGAAGCTATATCTAGCAGGAAGCTATATCAGGCAGGAAGCTATATCAGGCAGGAAGCTATATCTAGCAGGAAGCTATATCTAGCAGGAAGCTATATCTAGCAGGAAGCTATATCTAGCAGGAAGCTATATCAGGCAGGAAGCTATATCAGGCAGGAAGCTATATCTAGCAGGAATCTATATCAGGCAGGAAGCTATATCAGGCAGGAAGCTATATCTAACAGGAAGCTATATCTAGCAGGAAGCTATATCTAGCAGGAAGCTATATCTAGCAGGAAGCTATATCTAGCAGGAAGCTATATCTAGCAGGAAGCTATATCTAGCAGGAAGCTATATCAGGCAGGAAGCTATATCTAGCAGGAAGCTATATCAGGCAGGAAGCTATATCAGGCAGGAAGCTATATCAGGCAGGAAGCTTTATCTGGCAGGAAGCTATATCAGGCAGGAAGCTATATCAGGCAGGAAGCTATATCTAGCAGGAAGCTATATCAGGCAGGAAGCTATATCTAGCAGGAAGCTATATCAGGCAGGAAGCTATATCAGGCAGGAAGCTATATCTAGCAGGAAGCTATATCAGGCAAAGAGACATAGCACTTCTTTTGGGGGGGGGGGGGGGGGATCTGTCAGCTTCTGTAACATGCTTTGTTCCAAATGTATTGCTGCTACCTTTTCCTTGAAGCAAAGAGGCTGCATGGTCTCGAGGCATGGCATCGGCCTCTAATTTTGGAGTCCCAGGTGCAAGTCCTGCTGAAGGTTGGGATTTTTTTCACGTGGACTTTCAGTAATTTTCATGGTCTCTGGGTAATGAAAAATGATACTGTGTTGCGCATGTAAGATATTCCTTGGCTGTTGGAAATTAAAAAGAGTAACCTAACGGCGCTGGCCAGGCTAAATTTTGAGTTAAAAATCAACCCAAAGTATTTCAGGATCCTCGCTGCTGCAATGGAGTTCATGCACTGCGCTGAGCTGCTTCAAACTCAGGCTTCAGTTAGAAGTATAACACTGCACTTATGGGTTATACCCGCGTGCCATGATCTTGATCTGTTGAATAAACCAAACTAAACCTTGAAGCAAACAAAACAGAAAGAAAGAGGGGCTATGCAACATGAGCAGCACGTAGTGTCTACAGTACTGCCTAGGCTTTTTGCTAGAAAGGGGCGGACTTGATCCCTGACCTTATTTGCTGTGACTCCCATGCCTCTTTATAACACAATAGAGCACTATCAGCTAGAACATGGTTTTCCAACTGGCTGGCTGAATCTGACCCACAGAAGCCCATCAGTTGGCCTGCAGATCATTACGAGTTGTATCATTAATCTTTCTACGCTGAGACCCAGGTCTTTGACCCATGATGATCCCCATTTTTAACATTTTGGCCCCTGAGAAAACTTAGACAGCCCTGATCTAGAAATTTAGAAAGTTGACAACAGGTAAAAATTTGATTGGCACAAGATATCTTTGGTACTTCAGTACATAGTGTCTTTTATATATAAGTACATGGTATCTTTAGTAATTCTGTATATCATGTCTCTCATATATATCTACATGGTATCTTTAGAAGTTCAGTACTTAGTGTCTCTCGTATATAAGAATTAGGTAACTTTAGTAGTTCAGTACTTAGTGTCTCTCGAATATAAGTATATGGTATCTTTAGTAGTTCAGTACTTAGTGTCTCTCGTATATAAGTATATGGTATCTTTAGTAGTTCAGTACTTAGTGTCTCTCGTATATAAGTATTTGGTATCTTTAGTAGTTCAGTACTTAGTGTCTCTCATATATAAGTACATGGTATCTTTAGAAGTTCAGTACTTAGTGTCTCTCGTATATAAGTACATGGTATCTTTAGTAGTTCAGTACTGAGTGTCGCTCGTATATAAGTACATGGTATCTTTAGTAGTTCAGTACTTAGTGTCTCTTGTATATAAGTATTTGGTATCTTTATTAAGTAGTTCAGTACTTAGTGTCTCTCGTATATAACTATATGGTATCTTTAGTAGTTCAGTACTTAGTGTCTCTCATGTATAAGTACATGGTATCTTTAGTAGTTCAGTACTTATTGTATCTCGTATATAAGTACATGGTATCTTTAGTAGTTCAGTACTTAGTGTCTCTCGTATATAAGTACATGGTATCTTTAGTATTTCAGTACAACATGTCTCTCGTATATAAGTACATGGCATCTTTAGTAGTTCAGTACTTAGTGTCTCTTGTATATAAGTATTTGGTATCTTTAGTAAGTAGTTCAGTACTTAGTGTCACTCGTATATAACTATATGGTATCTTTAGTAGTTCAGTACTTAGTGTCTCTCTTATATAAGTACATGGTATCTTTAGTAGTTCAGTACTTAGCGTCTCTCGTATATAAGTACATGGTATCTTTAGTAGTTCAGTACTTAGTGTCTCTCGTATATAAGTATATGGTATCTTTAGAAGTTCAGTACTTAGTGTCTCTCGTGGATAAGTATATGGTATCTTTAGTAGTTCAGTACTTAGTGTCTCTCGTATATAAGTATATGGTATCTTTAGTAGTTCAGTACTTAGTGTCTCTCGTATATAAGTATATGGTATCTTTAGAAGTTCAGTACTTAGTGTCTCTCGTATATAAGTATATGGTATCTTTAGTATTTCATTACAACGTGTCTCTCGTATATAAGTACATGGTATCTTTATTAGTTCAGTACTTAGTGTCTCTCTTATATAAGTATATGGTATCTTTAGTAGTTCAGTACAACGTGTCTCTCATATATAAGTACATGATATTTCTGGTGCATCAGTACATAGTTTTCTGATTTGTAAGTGCACACTGACTGACTGACTTTCTGTATCCCACCTGGACATCGCACAAGCGATAAACACCCGATGACACGAAGTGCCACCATGTGGATGAGGATCACTGTGGAGAGTTCCGTTAGACCATATTTATGGCCGGGCTATATTGCGGCCCCTGGCAAGAGCCAGGGTAGGGCTTCAGAATAACAAAAATTTAATCTCACAAGGGGATGTATTGTAAATGCATAGTATCTCTTGCAGAGCAGTACATGATACTGTTATCATAGATGAGTACACAATAAATGAGTAAATGATATTTCAGTGATTCAGTACATATGGATGTGTCAAATGAGTTATAAAACAGCTGTAGCAGAACAGTACAGGATGTAAACACTGTCATAAATACATATCAAACCAAAGACAAAAGTAAAACCAGTCAGTTTCACATTAGCACACAAACAAATGACAAGAGAACGCTGTGGCCAAATATCCTTCATCAGCTCATTGCATGAATACATAATACAGCAAACATGAACAAGAATACACACAGTCACTTAACAGAAGTGTCTCTGACAGAAATCACATATGTGTCTGGCCAGTAGAATCTCTGACAGGTCAGAGACCAATGAAAAAAAAATACTAGCCCAAAAAAATTTGTGAATGGCAAGGGCCATAACAAAAATATTTTATAAAATCATGTTAGATGTTAACTCCTCTAGATGAATTGGAGCAGATTAGATAGTATTGTTAGATTCAACCATTAGATAAATATATTTCCATAATGATGTAAACAGTTGGAGATCACAATTATAAATTCAATTATTAATTTTTTAAAATCTTTATTAATGTATTCACTGACAGGTGTCAATCTATCGAACAATGATAGAAGGTACCTGGAAGAGTCCGTCTCTCCCCCAGCCAATCAGACACTTCTCTTAGTCAGTGCAGCAGAGGAACTTGACAGATCAGCTGCCAGTTTTGCCTACTTTGAAAAATTCATCTGTGAAGGTTTGTACAATTACTAAAACTACTTCAGTAAAATCGTGGTAATGCAAATACCCAGGAATCGAAAACTGAGTTTGGATGAAAAAATATTTATGCTAACCTAAGACTGCTACCCATTACAGCCAGCCTTCATTGTGCAGACAGCTCCTGATTAATTGATATTGGTTTAAAACTTAACTACCAGGGTGGGCAGTATGTCGGCCAGCCACTGTTATATTACTGCTTCCTGTGATATTTTAATATATCTAACTTCATTTATATTATTATCTTGTTTCATTTTCTTTCAAAACAGAAACAGCACAGTGCACAAGTAACCCTTGCCAGAACGGAGGCACATGTGAGAATGGTGGGAGAAATTTTGTTTGTCGTTGTCCACCAGGCTTTGCTGGCAAGGACTGTAGCAGAAGTGAGTTATTCTCTCATTCTGATTTCTTCTTGTTTTTCTTCTTCTTCTTTTTCTTCTTCTTCTTTTTCTTCTTCTTCTTTTTCTTCTTCTTTTTTTTCTTCTTCTTTTTCTTCTATTTCTTCTTTTTCTTCTTCTTCTTTGTTGTTTACCATTTATCCTCATAATGAAGCATAGGTGCTCAACAAACTCATTCCATGTCATTATGTCTTTTGCCACCACATTCAGCTCATCCAGTGGCCTTCCTATAATTTTTTCAGCTGCACTCTCTGGTTCCCCTCTGCATGTGTTGTTTGTGTTTGGTCTGTCTGTTTTTCCTATGCCCCTGTAGGTTCAAGTGTAAAGCCCTTCTAATTTTATTATTGGGTTTTCCCAGCATGTGCTATCTAATGTGTGTCTTTTCTTTACCTCTTCATTCACTGGAATTTGTTTGGTTCTCTTATAAAGCTCCACATAGGGATTCTATCATTCCATTTCATTCACTCTATTCTGTATGAATGTTTGTATTTTATTGATACAAAGAATATTTTACGTTGCTCTCAGTGTGCCAGCTCCATACAGGAGTCTTTCTTTTGTCAAAATCTGCTTGTGCCGCTAGGGGTCGCAGTCTATCAGATGATCGGCAACCGAGCCAGGGCGCGCTCAGTCGCTTCATATGCCGTGATGTTATGAAGTCTCAAGTTGTCTGTGACTCCTTCAATCCATCTTCTTCTTGGTCTTCCCCTGCCTCTTGGTGTTTCGATTTTCATGTTGTATGCTCTTGATGCTGGCATCGTTGGTTCCATTCTCATTAGGTGACCAAACCATTTCATTCTTTGCTTCTCAATAAATTTAACGATGGGTATGGTTCCAATAGTTCTTGTAATCACATCGTTTCTCACTCGATCTCTTCTGGTTTTATTAGCAGCCATTCTCAAACATCTCATTTCACAGGTGGTTAGTCTTCTCTCGTGTTCTTTTGTTAATGTCCTAGTCTGACATTGAGATTAGAAAATCCATACAGGAGTACTGATTTGATATCAGAGTTAAATATTTCAAGTTTAGTGACCGTTCTAATTTCAGTTGACTTTCATACATTTTCTAGTCCTGTGAAAACTGTTCTTGTTCTTTGTATTAGTATTTTAATATGTCTTTTAGTTCTCCCATCTTGTTCTACATTACTGAATAAGTAGGTGTGTGACTCCACTTCTTGTAATGGGATATCCCTGAGAGAAACTGGGTTACTGTTGACATGGTTTATTTTCAATACCTTTGTCTTTCTCTTATGGATTGTAGCCCTAACTGTCATGATCTCTTATCATGTATTTTAATCTATCTTGCTTCTGATTTTGTCAGTGGGATAGGAGATAAATGTCATCAGTAAAGATATTTTAATCATCAAGCTGTTTTGTATGGGTCCATTGAATTTCATTCCTGCGGGATAGCTGCTTCCACATCTGCTGCTGTCTTTATAATTGGTCTGTTGTCAGTAAATATAGTAAAGGTGGCAAAGATCATCCCTGCTACACACCTTATCTTATTTCAGATGTATGTTTTTTCTGCCATGAGGAGCTTTACATGTCCTGTCTCTGTGTTGCCTTCACTATTTTATTTTTCTACGGGATCCCAAAGTGCCTCATCACTTTTCAGAGAGATTTCCCTATCAGTAATGTCAAAGGCTTTTTTCTTAGTCTACAAACGAGTATAAAATGGTGAATTTAATTCAATGCTTTGCTCTGGTAATATGCAGTGTGGCTTTCTGGCCAGTATGGATGTGTTTAGATGAAAACCTGCCTGTTCACTCCTTAGCCATTTATCAATAGCATCTTTTATTTTATTTAAATTTATCCTTCATAATATGTTTCTAGGAACTGACAGCACCATATAGTTTTCAAACTCCTGCAGATAAACGTTCTTGAGATGTTTCATTGGATATCCATCTCTCCAGTCTGCTGGTATTTCTTCAGTCTCCAAGACTTTTACTCTCTAATTTATTATCAATCCATACATAAGTTTTTACTGGCATTAATAACCTCTGCTTGAATATCATTTAGACCTGCAGCCTCCCCTTTCTTCAGAAGATTGATAGCTTTCCTAAAGTCTGCTTTACATGGTATCTCACAGCTGATATCCTGTTTCACCTGAAAGGCTGGATTTCTAGAAAGGACCTTTGGTTCTTATCTGTTTAGAAGCTCTTCAGAGAATTCAGCCAATCTGTCCATTCATTCTGTAACATTGGTGAGACCTTTTCCCTGACTATTTTTTTTCCAGTTGGTTGACTGTATTTACCCACTAATTTTTGTGTGGCTCTGTTAAAATCTCAGAAGTTTAATGTTGCTGCTGATGTCTCTGCTTCTTGTCCTGTGTCATCTAAATATTTCCTTATTTTTGCCTTTATTTGTCTACAACTTCCTTTTTAGCTTCTGTGTATTTTTCATTATCCTAGCATTTAGTAGCTCAAGGGTGGCGCGGTGATTTATGTCACAGGCGTGAGGGGAAGTTAAGTCCAACATGATGTGTATAAGGAGATACTCCGTACGTCACTCGGGCGCCAGTCCTTCACTATCCTGGTTGTACGGAACCTCACGCAAGACCCCTGTAGCAGGTCCTCGTCGTGCGCCACGGATAATGTCTCAAATGAGCATTAACAGAGCTGTCAGGGGATCTCGGAGTTCGGCGGCCCCCAGAGGTGATGTGTCCTTGTGACTCTCATCAGCCCGCCCCCAAACGCTTGGGTGAAAGAAGTTATCAAAACTCATTAGGAACATGAGCAGGTTTGCCAAACGTACAGCCAAAATTACAACCCTTGGTTAAAAGACTGCGGAGTAAAGAGATCATTGCTCACTGCACATCCTCGGTTAACCCTCAGTGTTGTCGTCACCGCGCTGAGGTACACCACAACTGCAACCATCCATAGGCTGGCCATACATGTACATCCTCCGTTAACCCTCAGTGTCGTCGTCACCGCGCTGAGGTACACCACAACATCAACCATCCATCAGATGGCTAAGCCTAAATGTCCGACAAAACTGTATCATACGGATCAAAATCTGACCATCACAATTTGTATGGAACGGAAAAAGACCAAATGCCCACACCCAAAGACCCCACTCGCCCGAGTGTTGGGACAAAACTTATAACGATATGCCTGACGCAGGATGTAAAATTCTGTCGGGCTAACGGCTCGTCAAAGAAATCTAACGTGCGAAGAAAAAAAAAAAAGAATGTACCTATCTGTGTGGTCACAAAAGTCCAAAACCCACGGGCTGCTCCCCGCTGACTTCCAGAGGGCGCAGCCCCTGTCGAGCGGGAGGCCTGATACGGTTGTGAGGTTAAGCAGGCATGTGCAGGACGTGACGATTCCTTGGGTGAGCCCAGAACCAGAGCGCCATGTGCCGGCTCTGCATACATGGAAGCCTCCTTGGATGGCAGGGAGTGCCCATGATCTGCCCCTGCCTTCCCTTGAGGGCTAACTGTTCCACAGAGGGCTGCCCCAAAGGGATGCTCAGGGGGCAATACCTGCGGAGAAGTGGACACCACACAAATCAGGCAACGTCTTGACCCACACAAAACAATGGCCACAGTCACCCTAGAAATAGGCCTGACGTCCTCCTTCGAAGTCGGAGTACAGCTGCCCATGAGGCAGGGAAATGAAAAACGGTTGTACACGCAAAAATCAGGTCCAGGTGAAAGCCAAAAGTCCAAGCGGACGATTAACCGGGACCTTCCACTGGAATTCACAGCCGGTGTTCGATTAAAAAAAAAAAAAAAGTAGCTCAAGTTTTGATATTGTTTGGGTCTGCCCTTTTGCTTTTCCTTTCTTGTGTAGGAAAGTGCTTCCACCAATAATTTTTTCGTTCCCTGCACATTACTTAAGAACGGTTTACCGCCATGTCTTCTTTATTCAGATTTACTGTGGGCAAACATTGTTGTAATAATTATTGTGCTGTTTCTTTAGCCTGTGCTTATTCACATTTGTGAAAATAAAATCATATGAAATGTTCAATATTCCAGTGCAGAAATATAATAAAGAATATTGTTTCATTAGCTTGTCAAGACAAAGCCGATGTTGTGTTCCTGATCGACTCCAGTGGCAGCGTTGGGTTTGACAACTTCCAGAAAATAAAATCATTTGTCCATCACGTGATTGATGGACTCAATATTGGACCTGAAGGCACCAGAGTTGGAGTTGCTACCTTTAGTCAGGATAGTAGAGCAGAGGTGTATCTTAACTCATTTGAAGTAAGCTAACATTGTTTCTCTAGTTGTGATTTCATTACTGTAATGCTGTCTTCATGAAAAATGAATTAGAGTTAACTAATGTGGAAAATGGTACACCCATTTGGTCAGTAATGAAGATAAAGATGGGAGGAACTGATGGAAATATTTAAATACAAATGCTAAAGGCAAGAGGAGCTTTCATAGCACTAGGAAGTTTGTGGAAGTCAAAAGAAATTAAAACTAATATTAGACTAAAATTTTTAATTTTAGTGTCCAGTCATTACTGTTGTGTGGAGCAGAAACATGAAGAACAACTAATGCAATTACTAATAAACTATAAACATTCATTGTGTGGTGCCTACGCAGAATAGATGGAATTAAATGATATGATATAATCACTAATGTACAGCTTTGGGAGAGAGCCAGACAAGTTCCAGGGGACCAAAAGGTGAAGAAAAAACACTGGTGTTGGATAAGGCACATGTTGAGAGAATCTGAGAACAGTATAACTAGAATATCTTTGCACTGGAACCCACAGGGACATAGAAATAATGGAAGACAAAAAATAAAATGAAAAAGGGAGCTAGCAAGTGAAGTTAAAAAGATGGGGAGGACATGGGGATAGCAGCATGCGATCTTAAAGGATAGAACAATTGGTGTATTGGGGGATAGAAGCCAGAAGAAGAAGAAAAAGAATGTGGAAAATATTAGCAGACATTATTTGACAGTACTTTTTACCAGTGGTTCCCAACTATTTTGACTCACAGGCCCTTTTTTTAAGTTCAGTTTCTCTGGTGGATCCC